CTAAGAAAGTGAAATAGTTATATCTTAAGGGTATTCTCTTGACCACAATAACAAACTTTTGTCAGCTTTATAATTGTGTTACTTGCTTTATAACTTTAGTTGGGTGTTCGTGTCGTCTTTTCCAGTAGGCTTTAGTTCATGACTCATTGTTTACACCGCCTTGTCTCGACTCAACAGTTGTAAGCAGTCAGGTCGTGAGGTTAGACGCGTACGTTAACTATTCGCGATGCCGCACAGAAAACTCAAAGAGAAAACTCTTGAGTCCTTGTATAAAAACACACATTTTAATAAGTGAGTTTTACTTTATCAATATTTATGAGATTATGAATGAATAAAAAAATAATTCTATATGTTTAAAATTATTTCCATTGTTATGTACCAAGTAACGATAAACCAAATTAAATAATTTAAAGTATCCTACGTTAGAATTACTTAATTATGCATAAGTATATATTTTTATTACTAGATTTTGCTTAAAGTGTGAGTTGAACTATACTTTAAGTTTGAAAATTAACTTCTTTAAAAGTATCGATAAAGTTACATTGACTTTCAAATAACTTTAACATTAAGCTATGCTTAAGTTAATGAGTATCGAAGCCTAAGTGTCGTTAATGGTTAGTAACACCAATAATGAGACCTTAAGAATTCTGATTCTTTTTTTTTCCAGAAACGAACTGGAGGCGTTATACTGTATGTACAGAAAGTTGGTGACCAGTGCCCAGTCAATGGTTCCTACTTCCGTCATCGGCCAGTCTCCAGCTAAACTTGATGTAAGTTAACATTGGATAGCATGCACGAGAAACTAAAAAAAAACACGCATTGTTTCTTGTTTATATTCTACAAGTCTTGTTATATTCGTGTCAGCCGAGACTTCAACTCGTTTACGATTAAAAAAATAATCATCAAAATTAGTTTTAGAATGAACCTTTCCAGACGATTTTTTTCGTCGTATATCTTAAGATCTTATATCTTCCATACAAAAGTACTTTTTCTTTTGCATTTTAACAAAGTTATTGAAATTCGAAAATCCGCTTCTAAACCCAAAGACGTAGCCGAGCTGAAGGCTATAGGCGTTATAATTCATGGGAAAAAGTTTTTAATGAAACACGAATTACTTGAATAAAATTTTTTGAAATACTATAAATACATAGAAGTTTTTTTTAATAGGCCATCGCATATAGACGGAGAGCGTCGGTGGCTCAGTGGTCAAGCACTTGACTTGCAATCTGCAGGTCCTGGGTTCGAATCCCGCCATGTACCAATGTGATATATAAACACGGCTAAACACTCACGTATATACGTCCGGTGGCGGCACCGACTAGTTTCGAGCCCATCGGGGGCCCTTCATCAGGATGAGTGGCACTGGTATTATTTCGCGGACGCGGCCCGTCGCTCACTGCGCGCCTGCGCTCTTAGGGCGCGTCTTGAGGGGGCGGGGGGCGCGGGTTGCGCCGGCGTCGTCGACGATGTTGATACCAAAGCGTCGGTGGTGTTGTTGTTGAAGTTTCCGGGGGCACAAAACGTACTGACTATGTCCACGATATCGTCGTCAGCACTGCCGATGTTGTATCGCGCCGCGTTCATTAAGACGGGTTCCCATGTAGGCGGAAGAGTTCACCCCTTGTCTCTGTTGAAATTAGGTCGCCGACCTATCTCAATCGCTTCACGAAGCTTTCGAGACACGAAGTTCCTCTCACGGGCCAACACTTTAACTTTGTCGAACCTAATATAGTGCGAGGTTCCGAAGTTAAGGGCATGCTCCGCCACTGCTGAGGTGTTGCCGTCTAATTTACGCATACTGCGGATATGCTCAGAGAGTCTCGACTTTATGTTGCGCCCCGTTTCGCCGACGTAACTTTTGCCGCATTCGCATGGAATTTCGTAGACGCCAGGACTATCTAGTGGGTCCCGGTCCTTTGGAGATCGTAGAAGTTGTTTGATCTGTGTCATGGGGCGGAAAATTGTCCTGATGCCAAATCTACGGCGTAGCAGGTGTCCAATTCTGTCCGTAACCCCTCGCATAAATGGTAGATAGACCGGGACACGCTCTGCAACCTGAGGCCGTTGTTTGCTGGTCGTGTTCGCTACTCGGTAACTCTGTCGCCAGTTGTATCCATTGCACTCTAATACTTGCCGTACGTGCGTCAATTCAGTATGGAGGAATTGAGTGTCGCATAACCGTAGGGCACGATTTATAAGCGTGCGCGGCACCGACGACAGATGAGATGGATGGTGATGAGAGTCCGCCCTCAAGTACTGGTCCGTGTGTGTGGGCTTTCTATATACGGTATGGACCAGCTTACCACTAGGTTCCCGCTTCACTAGTACGTCCAAAAATGGGAGAGTTCCGTCATTTTCCTCCTCCGTAGTAAAATGGATTTTTGGATGTACGCCGTTCAAGTGGTCTAGTAGTTGACTGACGGCCTGTCTGGGAACTATAGCGAACACGTCGTCTACGTATCTCCACCAGAATCTAGGTTTAGATGGTGCATTCTTTAACGCCTCCTCCTCGAAGTATTCCATAAATATATTAGCTGCAACTGGCGCTATTGGCGAACCCATCGCCACTCCATCCATTTGCAGGTAAAAATGCCCTCGCCAACGGAAATAGCCACTCGTAAGGCAGAACTCTATTAAACTCATGTAATCAGTAGGTATATTGTGTGTTATAAGATGTTGTTTTATTATATTTATAGTTTCCGCTACTGGTACATTCGTAAAAAGAGACGCTACGTCGAAACTCACCATTATCTCGTCGTTTCGGATTTTGACGTTCTCCAGCAAATGAATGAAGTGATTCGAGTCTCTTACAAAGCTCGTTGTTCTGCCGGTCACTGTCTGTAGTATTCTTGCCATATGACGCGAACTTTTGTAAGTGGGCGAGTCTATTTGACTCACGATGGGACGCAAGGGCCAGTTAGGTTTATGCATCTTTGGCAGTCCATATATTTTTGGAGGTGTCGGATTCAGTGGTCGCAACTGTTTTTTGTCACCATCCGGCAGGGTGGATAAGATCTTATTTAACTTCGAAGTCACACGAGATGTTGGGTCGTAGTT